ATCTTTCGTATGTTTGTTCTTTTCCGTAACTGTATACCCCCCAGCAGCCGCGTAATGTGAAGGTGGAAGAAACTGGCGAGGAGATTGCTGAGCTGGTAGAGCAGGCTGGGCGACTGAGCGAGATCGACTTCGCCCGGTAGTCGTACTTGCGCGAGAAAGGGGCATTTCTCTGCGAAGAGAATCATGAGACCCAGACGGAGAGAGGAAGAGTAGCACTTCTTACGCTGGTCGAGTACAACTTCAAGCTGTAAAGCACGGTGATCCAAATTGAAGTTCAGGGTTAGGAAGAAAGCATGATGCAGATGATTGGGCGAGCCTGCTCGAGGGTGGGAACTGCTGAGGAAATAATTACTAAGTATGTCGCGATCAGCAAGTCAAGCCAACTGCCAACCTCTTCAACACGGTGACGAATCAATAATCTATAGTCCATATGAATCTCACCAACAGAAGGACTCGCGAGAGAGAGAGAGAGACGAAGGAATAAAGAAGGAAAATAAATTAGCGTGCCACAGAAATGTCCCGGGAGGGAGTCGAGCCCTCGGCTTCTCGGAGTTATTGAACAGCATTCAAACCACAACGAGATGATTTCACCACTAATCGACCAGGACGTTGATAGCACTGACTAAGTATAGCATCATAATAGCAAAGATCATGCTTAGGTCGTATATATCTCACAACATATGTAAGAATGTGAGCACTGAGTACTGAGTACTGAATTGGCTTGTCAGCGTGAGGGAGCAAACCGATGAGGACGGCTCATTCTCTCCCGAGCGACGATACGCCGTCAGACCATTGGCAAGACGGCGTGTGCTCTAATCAAAGTGGAACTTAAAAAAAGAATAGAATACCCGGCAGAAATCGATATCAATCGTGGAGCAAAAGCTGCCGATTGCCTTGGTCGTGATCGGAGCGTCCTGCGGATTTGTGAGGCCCGCCGCATAGATAGTTATCACAATAGTAAGCACAGCTAGACTGGCACGAAGGATGGGACGGTCCGATGAGGGTGAAAACCCGGAACTACGAGAAGCACTTCACGCCCTACAATGTTTTGTCAACCATCAACCCAGGAGGCTACGAAGGCGTGCTCGGATGGAAAACTCCCCCGGGGGTCCAGCCGTCGGGGGACTCGAGGTTTGTCACCGGATATATCGGTCTAGTTAGCATTTGGAAATGCAAGACAGTACGGAGAGGAACCAGAAAAGAGAACGAACCTCAGTATCCGGGAAAACAGGCAGCATGAACATGAGGAAACAGGGTAAACCAGTATCACAGCCCCTGAGAGACACTATTCTTGAGGTACGGCGATAGGGACCAGCCGGGCTGATGGTGCTATTTCGTATTGAGGGTCGCAGTGGAAGCCGATTTCCACTACTTGCCACGAACGACAGCTTGTACTTACGAGAAATCGAAGAAACTGCCGCGTCGCTCTTTCCTCTTGTCCGTCGCTTTTATGGAGAGAAGAACGAAGGCCTCAGAAGCGGGTGGAAAACCGTCTTTAAAATGGCCACGGACGTCGTCAACTTCGTTGGTCGCAATTTTAGACATCAGCCACTCGAATTTGTATCCACCATCGAGTTGAAAGGTTTCGATATCGATGTCACCTCTTGACATTTGAAGGTGAGCCTGTAATTCCGCCGTGATGTTTGTCGACTTCGTTCTAAACGACCAACTCGAAACTCTCGTGTGTGAGCTCGGTGAGAGGGTCGCTGTTGTCGTTGTCGCCAGAGATAAATTGAACAGCGTAGAGAGCTATTTTGGGGCAACAGGACTCACGGAGGCTGATTATCAATCATAATCCAGACTGAGCAAGGGTCTTGCGGGGGAATTTTGGGATGGTAGCAGATTGGCATAGGTTGGATATACGGTCTGACTCGCAAATAGGTTACTTGTGGCTGTTTCGAGCTCCGCGGAACTCTCCCCACCCTGGTTAGCCCAGCTTCCCCCAGAATACCATAAGACATCAGAAGATTCGAGGACTCAAGAGCATGGGAGAAGGCGCGTAGCAAAAGTAGAAATGAGAAGTGTTGTGACCACGACGCCACGATCAAAACACCTCTTGATGAGGGGTTTGACAAAGCCCTCCTTGCAGAGGAGGGCCGAAAATGTCATTGAGAGTGTGTAAGGCTGAATCATGTACCACAAATGCTGAGAAATGAATAAGCATTCATGGGCTTGAGCCTTGCTGGAATGGTGTACCCGTGATTAGATCCCGCGAGTACTGGTGTGACCGCTACACCGACGTAGTCATGGGAACAACAGAGCAGTTCGGATGCCATGGAGCGGCGAGGGCACAGAATTCGGAGATTATAGTTTACACTCCGGCACTGGGGTGCTTCGGAAGTTCGGATGAGTGGGGTGCGCGGGCCCGGTGATCCGGCAATTTTCAATGCTCACATCTTGGCTCACATCTTGGCCTCCTTCAGTCATGTCGTATAGTCATGCTTCACCTTCTTCAGAATTCGTGATTCCCTCCGCATCCTCACCCTCCTGGGTCCCAGCTGGTCACACTGCCCCACAGTATGGGTTTCAGGTCCTGCAACGCGGCCGCCTTGTCTCTTTGAGTCTTGGTTGTTCTAAATTCATACGACTCCTCGGATTCTGAGGAACCCACTCCTGTATTCTATATATGGAATGTCGACTTCTTCCAAAATGACTTTGTCGCCGCTGGTAATGTCCACTTCTAGATATCTGGCTTTACGAGCTCTGTCGACATCAGCGTTATCCCGCACCGACTATCCCCAGGATCTTGCCTACTTTCTCGCTCCACGACAAACATTCTATTCTGTCCCCGAATGGGTCTCACAACATCCCGTCGAGGACGTTCTCACTGTGGTAGGATAACCCAGGTCCTCACCTCCTTTCGAAGCACGACTAAACCTATTCCTTAGATGGCCTCGGCCAACAAATCGTGCTTAGTCGCCACCTTATCTTTCTGAAGCTATCTTCTGGGATGTTTCAGTACCGGTTTTCCTTCATTGACAGTTGTGCTTGCCTTCAATCCATAGCATTGACGCTCAATGCAGTCCCACAGCCAATCAAAGTTTCAGCTCCCGTCTCGCCGCAAACACCTAAGCCTTCGCTGTTAGCTATCGCTCACTAACTAGTAGTAACACTACTAATAACTCTGACCTCATCCCTCTACAATCATTACGGACCTCCCTTTCTCCCTCTCTCCCGCCAGCTGTTTTTAACCTGGCCTCGGCAACATCCCGATCTTTGTCATTCAATGGACAAGGCATCGCCCGAATCGTTTACTAGTCTCAAATGGGCGTTCTAGTCATCTTACAAACCGCCTGTTACTGAGTCGGTGGCTTGAACCTCGGGCGTATATATACCACCGCTGAGGATAAATATTCCTTCAACTACTGGAATTCCTCATCCACTCCGACTCTTGTCACCATGAAGGACATCGTTCGGGATTCATTTCTCGGTCAAGCGATCAACAGCCTCTCTGGCGGACGCCTTCTGGGCTACGCGGATCAGAGACCAGGCTACGAAGTACCTACTCGGTACCTCCGTTCACCCTCGCTATCACCACAAGCTACCCACATCCCCAGCACGGAGGAAGAAAAGAAACCGAAGGCGAAGGGCGGCTCTCAGGCTGTTGTAGAGGTCAGGGAGGTGGACGTGGATGCTGAGCCTACAGATACAGCATACCCACCACCACCTTCGCCTCCCGCTCACATACCTGGCTCTGGATCGGAGTCGGACTTGGGCGCTGATCGCTTCAGAGATGTAGAGAGTGGTGTAAATGCTTATTTGGTTGGTTGGGAGGGTCCTGACGACCCCGACAATCCGAAGTGTGTATTGCCTTTGTGTTACCTCGAGCTCGCAGAAAGCTAACCTTGACTTTTAGAAACTGGTCGAGTTTTAAGAAAGGATTCGTCGCATTTTGCATATCGCTTCTCACTTTCTCAGGTACGTTTTCCCTACGCTGAAATTTTCAGCGTTTTTCTAAAGTGATTCGCCTCAGTGTACATCGGCTCCGCGATCTACACCCCCTCGATTCCTGGTATCATGGAACACTTTGATATCTCACAGACAAAGGCAACACTTGGCTTGACACTTTACGTGCTAGCATACGGTATCGGCCCTATGTTCCTCACTCCTCTTCAAGAACTGCCATCGTTGGGCAGAAATCCTGTATATATCATTGGCCTTGCCATCTTTTTGCTTTTCAACATACCCATCGTCAAAGCGACGAATTTTGCGATGGTCATGGGTTTCCGATTCATGACTGGGCTCGTTGCAAGCCCTGCTTTGGCGACTGGAGTGAGCACTCTTGAACTCGAGTCTCTGCGTTGCTTGATGCTAATGCCGTCCCGACAGGGTGCGTCCATAGCCGATATCTACGAGGGCCGAAAGCTTCCGTACATGATGGGTATATGGGCGCTCGGAGCGGTTGCTGGCCCCATATGTAAGTCCTGGTAATCGATTCCAAGGGCGACACAGTTCTGACAAATCCTTCCATCGTTTCTCAGGCGGTCCCGTCATCGTAAGTCGTATGTCTATGTCCTCATACTCTATAAGGCTCATGACTATTTCTTAGGGTGGATTTGCCGCACAAGCGAAGGACTGGCGATGGCCTATCTACGAGTTGATGTGGATCGCGGCATTTGCTCTGGGATTCCTCTCCATCTTCTTGCCAGAAACCTATGGGCCGACTATACTTTTGAAACGAGCTAGAAGGCTCCGGAAGCTAACCGGCAACCCGCATCTTCGTAGCCAGAGCGAGTTGGATCAAGCCAACATGTCCAAGAGAGAGGTAGCCTTTGAGGCCCTTGTGCGGCCGATACTGTTGACCACAGATCCTGCGGTTCTGTTCTCGAACATTTTCATTGGGCTTGTTTGTAAGTGCAAAGGAGTATTCGTATTCTCGGGAAGCATATACTGACGTAGTGATTCGTTTTAGACTCCGTGTTTTATCTCTGGGTGCGTCTCCGCCGTCCCTCCGGAAATAGCGCATGATATTGACGAGTCTTTGCTAGTTCGAAGCCTTTCCACTCGTTTTCAACGAGATATACGGCATGAACCTTGGGGTCGGGAGTCTTCCCTTCGCGTCATTCATAGTCTCCGGGGGCTTCAGTTACGCCGCATACTGTCTATACTGTGGGTATCTAATTCTGCGGTCAATGTGTCTCAGTAACGGACTGACGAGTCCGCTTTCATAATAGTGAAGTATCACCTGGAGCCTCGCTCTGTCAGAGACCCAGACATGGCCTCGGAGGCTCTCCTGGAGCTTGGCTTGTTTGGCAGCATCTTCATTCCCATCTCTCTGTTCATGTTTGGATGGACTGCAAGGGAATCAGTGCATTGGTGAGCGAGTTCCGTCAACTCGACTCGCCCTAGTCCTAACCTCGAAACCTTCAAATAGGATTGTACCTGTAATAGCTGCAGCGCTATACCTTCCCGGGATTTTCCTCACTTTCCAGTCCATTCTCGTTTATCTTACTGTCACGTACTACAAGTACGCAGGATCGGTCTTGGCCGGTAACGATTTGTTCAGGTATGTCTATTGTGGCTCGTAAATAGCCTTGAAGTAAGTGCTAATCGCCTGGTGAAGGGCCTCGATGGCAGGCGCATTCCCTTTGTTTGGATCGGCCTTCTT